AGAAGTCGAGACTCATCAGACCAGGCAACATTTTTCCCGTCTTCAATTGTCCAATTTTGGTGAGCTCTTGCAAATTGTAGCCTCTTTTTCCTATTTGTAGAGGAGATGAGTGGTACCCGGTGGGGTCTTCTGCTGTTGTAGCCCATCCGCCTCAAGGTTGTGCGTGTTGTGGCTTCACAAATGCTTTGCTGCATACCTCGGTTGTAACGAGTGGTTATTTCAGTCAAAGTTGCTCTTCTATCAGCTTGAATCAGTCGGCCCATTCTCCTCTGACCTCTAGCATCAATAAGGCATTTTCACCCACAGGACTGCCGCATACTGGATGTTTTTCCCTTTTCACACCATTCTTTGTAAACCCTAGAAATGGTTGTGCATGAAAATCCCAGTAACTGAGCAGATTGTGAAATACTCAGACCGGCCCGTCTGGCACCAACAACCATGCCACGCTCAAAATGGCTTAAATCACCTTTCTTTCCCATTCTGACATTCAGTTTGGAGTTCAGGAGATTGTCTTGACCAGGACCACACCCCTAAATGCATTGAAGCAACTGCCATGTGATTGGTTGATTAGATAATTGCATTAATGAGAAATTGAACAGGTGTTCCTAATAATCCTTTAGGTGAGTGTATATATATGAGTACAACATTTTTAGTAAATTTCGTCTTTTAAAAATATAGTCTTTTAAATGGCAAAGCAAGTGGTTATTATTTTATTAGATATTAATGTAAGCAGTTTTTAAATTTTCTTATTTATGTTAACATTTTCATTTTTCATTGTGTAAAAGGTCATTGTGTATAAAAGTCTGTACAGTTCAAGTCTTTATTTTAGCAAGAAGCTATCTTATGGTCCATGCCAGTAAAAAAAACCTGCGTTAGACTACATAACTGATGGAAGCATCACTGTAACTTTACTGTGTCCGAAATTCAGCATGATCATCTCACAGCGTGTTTGCTGCTATGACCCACATTTACTGACTAGCCAATAAAAATGCTACATGAAATGGCTTATTGATCAACGCGACATAAAGCTAAAACTTAAAATACTTAACTCAAGCTCCATTTGCAAAATTGGCATGCCAAGTTGGCCTCTTTTCCCTAGCAATAGCCGCGTCCATATTCTCCTCTTTCGCTTCCTCCTCTTTTTTTCAGCGCTCATAAAAACCTCAATTGCCAAAGTGTGATTTAATCTTGCTCTATTTGTTTACCACTAGCGCATGCTGATGAAGTTTTATTCTTCTATACTATTTCGTAGCCTATGATTCAATAGGTGTCATCATTGTACAGTTTACATACATGTCATACCCAAGTTTATTAGATCCATGTCTACAGTGTGATTTGTAACAATCTTATAGGATTGCCGAAATCGCACAGTCTGTAGTAGGCATAATGATTGTGTGTTGAGCTTGGATTTTTTTTTTCATTTGCGGCAGTTTGCGCGTTGGCTTGATGAAGAGATGCTCAGCTACTCATCTGAGGTGGGCCAATCTGGCTACCTGGAGCCGGTATAACATGCTCTCACACAAGTATTTTTTTTATTTATTTTATTTTAGGAGGAGTAAAATGTACATATGTGGCTTCAGCAACCAGATGCATTTCCACTTGCCAAGTATAGTTTGGAATGTGTCTCGGACCACCTCCTGAAGTGGTTTGAGTGATCAGAAGTGTTTCAAAGGGCATTTACCCCTGGTCTTTTAACAAACGGATAGCTATCCGTAACATTTGTTCGTTATTTTGCCTACTGGTTTGTTTAGACCAACTGAACGATTGTTTTCAAAGAATGTCATGTGAGCCATATCATGAAAGCACACAGTTTTAACAGATCCTTTATGACACAAACACTAAATTACATGCAAACACACACACACACACAAACTCTCAGTGAACATACCCAACATTAACACAACATGCCTGGTGGTCAGCAGGCTATTCAAGGCTATTTGTTTTCACATACTTGTCAATAATCAAACCATTTTCCCTTCGCAGCTATTCGCACCACAGTCTAATTTTAGCCCTGTATATTACCCATGGTTCATCCCCTCAGTGTAACGTTTCTGAATCTTCTCCAGAACAAAGGCCGCCCCCCGTTACACCTGGCTGCTGCCATGAATTAGTAAACATGCTTTTTGTTCCTTCTGCTTCCTGTGATCTGAAGGGCTAAGCTAACAGTTTGGCTAACTCATCTATCCTGTTCATTTAAGAGCGGACGCTTAGGCAGGTGTGAGTATCTGAAGATCTCAAATGCCATATATGTAGGTACTTTAAACTGAAACTTTAAACTGCTGAGTCATTACATGGCTGTTTTTGGTGCCTTTTATAGCACATTAGTTTCTCTTATGAAGTATTTTGCACTCTTGTCAAATGGCATCTTTAATAGTTCAGGCTGCAAATATAGTCAATATTAGAGATTTTTTCTGGAGTGCCAGTCAAACTATTGCATTCGATTATGAATGACATACAGTGGAATCCAAAAGTCTGAAAACTTTAGTGAAAATGCTTTTATTTTAGCATTTTCTATTATTATTATTATTATTATTATTATTGTTATTATTATATGGGTAAATGACATACAAGTCTAAGATAAAGAAAAGGAAAAATATTTTAAAAATCTAGTTTAAACACGTCGAGTTCTTAGAAATGTATGCTTTGTAATTATGTTGGTTTCATATGGTTTTGAAACCTTTTATACTGTTTTCAAAGACAGTTTCAATTTATTGTCTGTAAAAATGTCATGTGGTGAAACATAAAAGTTGACTTGATAATAATGACTTCCGGTATTGTACTGGTTTAGTTGCACTTGTAGTATGTTGAGATTCACGGTTATGTAAGGACATTTCTGAAACACACTCGAAGCAGTTGACCAATCACAACACACTGGTCTAGCCAGCCAATCAGAGCACATTGTGTTTTTTCATAGAAACAGGAGCTAAACACGGGTGCTTTTCCCAAAAGCATTGTTAGCCAAATATGGTTGCACTTTTTCCGTCTTTTCCAACATAGTTGAACGATTTGATATTTCCCGAAACCATAGTTCCAACGAACATTCGTGAACAGCATCACAAACTTGTGTGGTTGGAACTACAGCTCTTGAGCATAGAGCTTAAATAGATCATGCTCTTGGGCACTAAGTAAGCAATCTAACATTCAGTACATTCTATATCTTTCAACCCATTTAAATATATATACAATCTATAATTTAGCGTGTCAATAATCAGTGCGGTTTTTGAGGAGTGTCCATGTGCATAAATGCATAAAGGGAACCCCGGAGTATGACATGAGAGAACCCGCGATGAATCAAACATCAAATGAAGCAAAACAACAGGGACCAAAAACTGTCCTCAGTTCGTTACAGCAGCATATTTAAAAAATTAGGTTACGTAGAGAAAGCTGCTGACTAAATGACCCACATGTATACTGGAGTAAAGTGTACGCCAAATACTGCATGTTAACGTGATTAAAAAATATCGGCTTTCTCTTGTTTATGTAAATTAGCTATAATAATATTAAATACATGAATTGCAATCTCGAATCGATTAATTAGCAGAAGTTATTACTCCACCACCTGCACGTGACATCATTAATGACAGCCCTATATTGTTAATCTAATGTGGTTCAAACGACAGAGGTGCGACTGGTTTTGGGAATCTAGCTAGTTAGATTAAACTAAATTGCATCGTACCATGATAAACAGACTGTGAAGAGAAAACGTTTTTGAACATTCAAGCATGAAAACCTATTCTAGTAGACCCCAACACTAAATCCAGACTTTGTAAAAAGGCATATTAGGTCCTCTTAAATATATTGAAAATGGGAACAACAAGAAGATTTTCAATGTGGTCTCACAGTTTTGGACATTTTTTTTTTAGACTTTGCATGTCACACTGATTATGTGGTTGTTTCTTAAATTATCAGTTTTTTCACTCATATTTTAATCAAATCATAGCAGTCGGCAGCCACTTGAATTTGTAAGCTTTTCAGTAACTGAGATCTTTTGCTGAAGCTAAACATCTGATTCAGCTTCTGTTATAGCATTCATGTTACCTGACTGACAGCAGCAAGCAAGATCATCTGGGTGTGTTTGTTCATTTACAGCAGTTTAATATACCCACACTCATGTGTTTTTTTTTTTTTGTTACCTTCACATTCAAATGGAGCAGGTGATAATGTTTTGTATGTAACCCAAACCAGTTTATAGACACACACACACACACACACACATGAACAAACAGACATGTTGATAAGCTCCTGTTTGCGTGCCAGAGTATTAATGGCCCCTGGTAATGTGTAAAGAACATGATGATGGTGTAATGTTGCTTTGTACTCACTGGCCACCTGCTAAAGTCAGGCCTTACAGGAAACCAGCACTGTTGACAAGAACCACAAAAGAGTCACTCTGCTAACAAAGAACACACAATGTACACACAGACATACTGGCTAGCTAGACTATTTATTTGTAGATGGCATGCTTGTTTAGCTTTAACAATCCTTTTTTCCTGCATAAAGGAAAAAACATATTAAAGTTGATATTTTCAGTTGAACTTCAGTTCACCTTTAAGTTGCAAAAATGGCCCATAAAACTGAAGTTAGTACTGTGAAAAGCTTTAACAATAGCTTTAATTAATATGCCACTTGTCTGATATTTCATATCCAATGTAACAACGTTCATACATTAAGTGTGACATAAGTGTCCAAATACTATTGGGGTCACAGTAGAAACATTTATATAGCTTTTATATTTTGTATTTTATATAAAATGTTATTTATTTATTTATTATTTATTTCTATTTTAATAATATTATGTATTAAGATACGATTATATATGTATAATGTTTAACTGTTTAAAAATTTGGGGCCAGTAAGATTTTTGGTCTTGTATGCTCTTATGCTACTTTTATTTGATAAAATACAGTAAAAAGAGAAATATTGTGAAATGTTATTGCAATTTAAATCCATCCGTCCGTCCATCCATCCAGTATTTATGTAGTTTTATTTCTGTTTTCCAGAAACTGCGGAATGAGGTGTTTCCATTGCATTTCTCTGAATTATCGCCCCAGCATGTGGAAGCATATCGACTGCTAGAGGACAGGAAACACAAACTTTCACCCGAGACCGCCGCCCTCTACCTGCTTCGACAACAGCACAAACTTTTGGTCAGTCAGCATGCATCCTTACTCTTAACCGTATGGCAATCATGCCAAAGACTTTGCGTTTGTTTTAATATTTAAGGGTTTTGCTTTAGGAAAGTAAAGATGCAGAGTGTGTTTTGTTCCTTGCATAATGTTAAAGCCTAAATAAATGTTTGCTTAAATTGATTTTAACACACACTCGTATGTGCATATATACGTATATCCCACCGGAGATTGTTTGGAAGTCTTCAGGCTTCTCTCTGATGTGCTGGTCTAGATGTAAATTAATTGCATTGATTACATGCACACACCAGCTTATATTCCTGTCACATTAGAAGTTCCTAGTAGACATCTTCCCAGGTGAAGCTGTCTGTGAGTCATCAGATTTCCACTTTCAGTAGCTTTCAATTCTTTAAAAGATGTGTTGTCCACAGAATACTGGATTGCGTGTAATGAATGTTGGCCCAAATGTATTAAGTTGAGATTTATTCAATTTGGGGTGAATTTTCATTAGGAGTAAAATACGAAATTATGTAGTGCACAACATCTTTTATTGCCATTGGCTTATAGCACAAATACAGTGTCCACATAACTATGCCATTCACATTATAATAATATCATTTAATATTTAATTTTAGTAGGCTTTGTGTCATTTCTGTTGGTGATGATTACACTTCATCATCATCATCTGGTCGTGTGGCATGTTCGGTTTTCTTTCTTAGTCTCACATTCTCTTTTTGTTGTGTTCCTTTACCAAAGAAATCGAGTCCAATGGAGAATGATGATTATAGGCCCATAGCCTTGACATCATGTGTCATGAAGTGCTTTAAGAGATATATGGTGTCTTTGTTAAAGACAGAGTTGAAACCCGTTTTAGATCCATTTCAGTGCTATTGCGAAACATTTAGAGAGTCCAAAAGCCTATGTACGGTTACTATTTGTGGATTTTAGCTCTGGTTAATACAATTAAGCCCCATGGTTAAATAAAAAAATTGAAGCTGTGGGGTGTGAACCCTTTTTTAATTGAATGTTATTATTCTTTTTAAATAAATATAATGCAGCAGGTTAAGGTTAACCATAGTGTATCAGAGTTTATAAGGAAAAGTATAGGTGTTCCACAGGGCTACGTTAGATCCCCGATTCTCTTTACGCTCTATACAAATTAATGTAAAAGTTCTGATCCTAGTAACCTCATAATAAAATATTCTGATGATAAAGCTTTGCTTAGCCTCTTGTATGATAATACTAATTGTAACGCAGTTAGATGTTGTGGGAAGAAGGAGGTGGGAACCGGCGAACATTCAACAACTTTAATAAAATAAATAAACAAATACAAAACGGTCAGTCACAGTCCCTCACGGACGACTGCTGCCACATATAATAAAACAGAAACACAACACAAAATCCAGGCCTGGCCTCTCTCGTCCTTCACTGTCGTCGCTCCTCCTTTTATTTTTCCGCTCCTCCGTGAGAGATACGAGACTGGTGCGTTGCGCAGGTGTCGCTCATTATCAATCATGCCACTGGCCTCGCGCCGTTCTCCCACGGCCCTCGGCCTCGTCCTGCTCGCCACCCTAATCTTTCTGTGTATCATTCAGAGATAGAAAATTGTATTAAGTGGTGTAACCTTAATCATCTCATTATAAATGTAAAAAAACCTCGGAGTAACTGATTTTTGATCCGAGGTCAATAGGGAACCACTCATATCTATTCATAAGATACCCATTGAACAAGTGTGTTCTTTAAAATACCTAAGTGTTTATATGGATACCTTACTTATCTGGGGATTTGGTTACATTTTCTGCGAAGATTAAAGGTGATGATTCACAGGGGAACTTTTTGAGCAATGTTGCTGAGCAATCTTGCCGAGTGATTGTTGCTTGGGCACTTTCCCATTAAAAATGGGCAGTACATTTCTATCTGGATAATTTAGATCGGTCGTGGGCCCTGTGTCTCATTTGGTTGCCCAGCAACATTGCTCAAAAAGTTGCCCTGTGTATCATCACCTTAAGGGCCAGATTTACTAACAGCTTGCGCCAGCGCAAACCCTCTTTTGGCGTTAAAAAACTACTGTCAGGATTTACTAAAGACACGCAGTGAAAAATGAACGCTGAAAAGGCGTGGACCGGGTTATTTTTGCAGCTGATCTTATTGCTTATACATTTGTAGGAGTTTTCATTTCAGACGCAAAATTTATGGGAGGAGAGTATTTAAATGAATCATGCAAGGTGATTTATTAAGGTTTGCGCTCTTCAATTTACTGGTGTTTACTGGTTATTATGGAAATGATCTGGCCCTAAGAGTTTACGGGGTAGAACAGAAAGTAATGTATTTATTTTACCAGGCTGTAATTGAAAGTATAATACATTATGGTTATACTGAATGGTTTGGCAACATCACAGTTCAGTCCAAAGCTAAACTTTACCGTCTGCTAAAGATAATAGGAAATTAGAGGAAAAAGGAAATATCAACCATTGGTGTATTCATATGAGCAGTCTGTTATCAAGGAAGCTACCAAGATATTATCTGATCCTTCAAATAACTTATATACAGAATATGAGTTGCTGCCTTCTGGCAGATGATATAGGCTGCCTGTGTGTAGATACAATCGTCTTAAGAAATCCTTTGTACCTATGTCGATTAGACTTTTAAATACGCAATAATTATTTGTTATTTTTGTTCTTTGCGATTATAATGTGCATGTGTCATGGATTATGTTTTTGGTCAGTGTATGTGTATGTGTGCACCAAGTCCAAGACAAATTTCTCCATCGGGGACTATAAAGTGTATTGAATTGAATTGTGGACGCGCAGAGCTGCAGTTCGTCTAACCTGTTAGTTGCTTGGAAACAGCATTTTTATAAAAGCAGTCCATTAGCATGTCACTTACCTTGTTTTGGTGTGTCACATTTTTGCATATTTCAGTAACGGAGAAGAAGCATGAGGGGTGCATATGTTTGTGTGTATAGAGGAGGCAGACCTGAAAACATCTTGCTCATGAATAATGGTTATTTTGCTATTTTGCTAACTCTGGAATTTTCAAACCGGAGACACTCAAATAGGGGTACAACGATTGTTAAGGGAAAACAGAAAAAGACTGTAAAAATGCAAATTTGTATAAAAAAATAAAATAAAATAAACTTTTGTGAAAAACATATGAAATACTAAATTGAATTATGAGAATGTTTTAGAATTTAATATTAATAATGGGTAGAAAAACAATATGCTATTTACTTAAAATATTAAATTAAATAATTTCCAGGTAACGTCAATCGACTATTTTGGATTTAGTACAGTGACAGTATAGAATCTAATTATTTAACTTTTAAAACAACATGTTGTATTTATTATATCGGACATGTTTTTGATGTAATGGAAGTAGCGACAGTATTGTCGTATTGTGACGTACACGTAAGTCAAATAGATTACTGGAAAATTAAAATAGAAAAAGTAGAGTGGGCACTTGGTTCTGTCTGTTGATTGAATAGAGGAAGATCTGAATGCGGTTGACTGTAAGAAAAGGACACGGTGTAAGCGGACTAAATGATTGGTTAGATTGATATGTTACATACATCGAAGCCATACGTAAAACAAATTATTATATCCTGCTCACTTTACGACTTATAATTAGAAAAATATTTGTTGCAGAATGCTGAACACATTTACAGTTTACTATTGATTCAGTTTATATAGAGTTATATGTGACGTCCATCCGGAAGTATTGAACTCGTCTCAACGGGGTCATGAGAGGCCTCTACATCCACTCATCCCTATCTCAGGCCTGAAAACACACACACATCCACACACCTCAAGTATCTCTTATCGTCAACAGTGAAGTAGTGAGATATAGAGGCTGCAGGCGCACATGCATATACACAGGGTCCACAATGAATGCCAATGACGGGTGAAGTAAGATTCCTTATCAGACATCATTTCATTAAAAGTACTCTTTATGTTCACATGACGACAAATTCAGTTTTTCTCTAGGATCATATGTTACACTCTTAAAAATAAAGGTTGACAATCATGGTTCCATAAAGATCCTTCAACATCTATGGAACCTTTCCATTGCACAAAAGGTTTTTTATAGTGGAAAAAGGTTCTTCAAATGATTAAAAAGTTCTTTAAACTAAGAAAGAAAAAAAAAAGTTTAGTTCTTAAGTCTTCTAAGAACTGTGTCATGAAAGGTTATTTGTGGATCCCAAAATGGTTCTTTAATGGCATCGCTGCAAAAAAAACAAAAAACACTTTTGGAACCTTTATTTCTAAGAGTGTAGCCAGCCTCTTCAGCCCCTTAATGTGTTTCATATCAAGACATACCTGAAAGACATTTTCTGTCTGCTAATGCTGGGAGTTTCACACTGGTTCATAAGAACCAGCTCATAAAAGTGATTTTTTTCAAGGATCGGGCAACACTGTTTGCGCTGTATGTCATCACACCAGAAATGTACCACAAAATTCACTACAGTTCATAAGTTTGGGGTCAGTCATTTTTTTTAAAGAAATGAATACTTTTATTCAGAAAGGATTCATTAAATTGATTAAAAGTACAGTACAGACACTTAAAATGTTACAACAGATTTGTTTATTTGAAGAAAAAAAAAAGTAAGATGGTTTCCACAAAATATTAAGCAACACAACTGTTTTCTACATTGATGATAATAAGAAATGTTTCTTGAGCACCAAATCAGCATATGGACCCTTTTTACATTTCCGGGTTTCTCCAAAGCGGAAGTCGTTAAATAGCCAAAGAAAAACTCCACGATAGTGTTTTCACGACTTTCAAAAATTTGAAAAATAGAAAGTGAGTGATAACGGCAGTCAGAAGCGAGAAAGATGAAGACATTATTTCTGAAGTATCATGTGACACTGAAGACTGGAGTAATGATGCTGAAAATTCAGCTTCGCATCACAGTAATAAAATACATTTTTAAATATATTAAAATAGACAACAGTTTATTTTAAACTGTAATAATATTTCACAATATTACTGTTTTGACTCTTTTAGATCAAATAAATATAGAC